AGAGAGAGAGAGAGAGAGAGAGAGAGAGAGAGAGAGAGAGAGAGAATGAGAGCTGCCCTACCCACCTGCCTACAAGGTAGATAGATACCTACTCTACCCACCTGCCTACAAGGTGTGACTTGCACACTTGGTAAGAGCTCCCCAGGGCGCATCACCCTCTCCTTCCTCCTTCATCTCACATGCCTGCAGCTGAGATCCAGTGAGTGTTAGCTCTACATTACGCTGAGTTACTAAAAAGAAGTGCAGAATTTGGGTCACCTATCTTAATTCCCTGCTGACATGCCTTAATAGAACAATTATTTAATACTACACACTTAGATCAGCAATGCCTGACAGCATTTAGCTACTTAAACCTTACATTGGTACAGTTTCCTGAAAATCTTCAATCTTCTGACAAGTGACCCAGCACTCACTGCGTAAATCACTCTCCAAATTCCATGTCAGTAAAGAGATGGTCCCAATAGCTGAGCATGGCTGTGCCTTGCTAACCAACAAGAATGAATTAACCCACAGCATTGCCTCAGAGCCTCTCCTAGAAGACTGATGACATCAGAGCCCTTGTGATTCAGTCTTCGCATACTGATTGGATTCACCCAGAGAGGACTCTGCCTTCAACACCTGAATCTTGTGTGTAGATACTTCATACCCCAACTGCAATAGTGCTGTACCGTCTCCCAGCCAGTATCTGCAACCAAGTGTTTCCCAGACACTGGGAATACCTGGACCAGAGAGGAAACTCTTAGATGGCTGTGAACTTAAGAAAGAAGCCACACCTCACTTAGATTCTGCTTTGTATTACTATTACTATTATTATTATTATTATTATTATTATTATTATTATTATTATTACATATCTAGTACCCACCTGCCTACAAGGTGTGACTTGTACACTTGATAAGAGATCCCCAAGGCACATCACCCTCTTCCTCTTCCTTCAGATGTCTGGTGCATAAGACACAATTCAATTGTGGGTTCAATAAATGAATAAGGGCCATGATTACTTTTTAATTTTTAAAAATATCTCCTCAAAGCCGGGCGGTGGTGGCGCACGCCTTTAATCCCAGCACTCGGGAGGCAGAGCCAGGCGGATCTCTGTGAGGTCGAGGCCAGCCTGGACTACCAAGTGAGTCCCAGGAGAGGCGCAAAGCTACACAGAGAAACCCTGTCTTGAAAAACCAAAAAAAAAAAAAAAAAAAATATCTCCTCAGTGCTTAGCATTGTATAAGATATGATCAGAAAATGCTTTCTGGCAGGTTAAATATTCTTTAAAAATATAGGAATTCCTACAACTGATGATTTGAAGAAGAAAAATAATAGGGAAAATAAGCTTTTGTGTACCTTGATGTAGGTGAAGTGATCTCCTGGCCTTTTAGGATTTTCAGCAAGAGATGTGAGTGTAGAAAGGTAATGTCTTCGTTTCTAGATTGTCAGCGAGGGGACTTCAGCATTCCTCTCTTCACCTGGACTTATGTCAGGTACACTCTCTCTCTTCCTTGATGCTTGCTGAAGTCCATCATCTCCAGAATAGGGTATAGGACATGCTTCCTTGAGCCCTGACCGCCAGCTGTCCTGCACCCGTGCTGGAGACAAATAGGATGGCTTCAGTTCTCTGGTTCCTGAACCTGAAAGTGACATTTGCAACAGGTCATACACTTAACATTTTTTTCACCATCAAACCCCAAATAATAATTCTCTAATTGAGGTCCAAACCTTCTATGCCCAGGGCTGTGTCACCTCTAACACACAGAGTGAGATGCAGAGGAGAGAAAGGCATTCCTGCCACACACAGATTCAACTCATAGCACATTTCACACACTCTGTCCTTCACTGTCTATTTATTTCAACTCTGTGTGCCATTTTCAGCTTCTGGGTAAGATTTTTAATTTAACAGGTAATAGCCCTCTTGAAGTGCCACCTCACTGGTCTTGAGCCTAAAGAATTGCTGTATTCAAACAGCCGAAATCATTAAGGCAGACTGTTTTACCAGGCCGGAATGCTTAGCATAATTAAAGGAAAAAATAACAGGAAGAGCAGCCTGAGTAGACACCATCTTCCTATAGATGGGTGGGTTGCTGGTTACAAATTAGAATCACCTTGGGAGTTTTCAAAGGTCCTGAAGTTCAGGCCGTGATCCAGACTAAATCAGAATCTTGGGGGTGATGCTGAGGCATTCAAATTTTTTAAGTTAACATTTTATCCGAGACTGACTTTAGGTCTGTAGATAAGCTGAAAAATTGCAAAGATGGTATAGAGTTTCCATATACATCACACCCAATTTCTGTTATTAATATGTTGTTAGTATATTTGTTATTAATTTTCCTTTCTTCCTCCTCATCTTCGCTTCTCTACTTCCTCTCTGGGGTTGAACCTAGGGTCTCCCAAATACTAGCCAAGCATTCTACTCCTGGTTTTATCTCCAGCCCAATGATATATTATTATTGGGTACACTCCACACTTCTTTCCTCAGGTTTTACCCAACATCCATCCTTTTTTTTTAGGATCACTTGTAGGGTGTCCCACAACATGCACAGCATTGTGTCTCCTTGGGCTCCTCTTGATGGTAACAGTTCATGAGATTTCCCTGTTTTTTTTTTATGACCTTGATTTATTTATTTATGTTTTCTTTTAGGAGTACTGGTAAGGTATTTTAGAAAAGGCTCCTCACTTGGAGTCTGTTGATGTTTTCCTAATGAAAGAAGATCATAACAGTAATGGACCATTCTCACTACTCCTGCCAAGGGTGCATACTAACAATGTAATTTCTCACCCCCAACACAGGCCTTAATTATCCAGCTAACGAGGGTGTGGATGCCTGGTGTCTTCAGTATAGAGTTACTCTCCTTGTCCAAACTATCCTCTTTGAAAGGGAAGGACTGTGTTCAACTTACACTTAAGCAACAGGGAATTATGCTCTAATTTCTGAGAGCAGAGTGTCTATGCACATTACATGGAATTCTTTGACACAGAAAATTATTTATTTAATAACTTATTCCTTTTGGTGTAGTTATATATGTGTTTATTTTATACTTTGGGTTGCAATCCATTAGCGATTATTTCTTTTGTTATTCAAATGTCCCAATCTAAGCCATTGGGAGTTAGTTTGCCTAACTTTGCATTCCTTTGGCACATCCCCCCTCCGTGTGTACATGTGTCTGTGTTTATGAGCATTTTCTTTTCATTCCAGTCTCATCTTTGATTTTCCCACCTTAGTCTTAGAACCAGTCATTTACTCAAAATGTGTTCCTTTTTATTAAAGAATAACATTGGAAATCAAGCCCTGCATAGTAGGTGTGCTTGTTACACTCAGGGTAGTGTTAATATACAGCTGATGAGGCAAACAGATCTCTGTGTGTATACTGACACACATACATATATATTTCTGTGTTAGCTATAAATATTTCCATGTGTAACAATCCATGTCTATAAACAAAAAACAAAAGTTCCATTGAAGCCCTCAACTCTAATCCAGTACCACAGGGGTGATTCCAGATTCCTTCCTTTACTTCCCTTAACATTCCATGACAACCATGAGACAGACACCTGACTCCACTCACTGCCCATGCACATAGATATTCAATTCCAGTATGCACATATAGCTGCATGAAAATTGCTAATGTGAACCACCATGAGAAATGGTATCAACTATAGCATGGTGCTTCTGTGTATTTCTTTTAGCTTTTGCCTCACAGATGTCAATCATTCCCATAGTTACTTAGGCCAGCCCCCCTTTGTCTGCATACCATGAGGTTGCTTGCAACTTTTGTAGTAAACTGAAAGTATTTTTCACAGTTCCACATTTCATCCCAAGACTCCTCCAACCCCCTCCATGATTCATTTAGTTAGTATACAGTAAGACCTTGTGTTATTGAGTTTCTGTAGGCCTTGAAAATCATAATGTTATGTAATTAAGGAATATATAACACAGAATACCATAATGTAATTAATACATGTTATATATTAATATATTATTTTATATGAAATAGAATTGGATCATTGTATTAAATAACTGCCAATGCTTCATTTATCCTACCCTCTTCACTGTCTCCTGAGCCCCTGAGACCACAGCCTTTCTCCAATGTTGACTGGTTTATAACACAAGCCTTTTCACAATGACTCTGTTCTTTATGTGTGGTATGGTGTGGTATTTGTGGGTGTGTGTGTGTGTGTGTGTGTGTAGGTGATCACATGTGTGGACTGTCTTTCCTCAGATGCCATCCATTTTCCTATTCTGTGTGTTTTGTCTTTGAGACTGAGTCTCTTGTTGGCCTGTTCATTGAGTAAGGTAGCTTGTCTGGTCAATGAACTCCAGGGACCTGCCTGTCTCTGTTTCCCCAGTGCTGGCAATACAAGTGAAGCGCCAGCCCCTGGCTTTTTTATGTGGGCCCTGGGGACTCACACTTGGGTCACCAAGTACTTTTCCATTTGAGCTCTCACCGCAGTCTCACAATGACCTGTTATATGTATTTGCAAACTCTGTTTCTGCTCCCTCTGCTCTGCTGACCTTTGACCCTACTCTTTTAAGGATGTAATGCATCTCAATAATAAACCCTACAGCAGCTCTTCAGAGCAGAGAGTGGGGCATCTCCAACGTTGCTTCTTCCCGGCAATGTATTAGGGAATGACTATTTTTGATAGTTTCCCAAGTGATTCCAATGCAGAGCCAAAGGCAAGGGCCTCTGCCTTTGAGGCTGCTGAGGACAGAAGGAAGAACATGGATTTTAAGGTCAAGCAGCCTTTGACATTCTTGGTTAATAAGGAAGACATTTGCATTCTTGGACATCAGCTCCCTACTCAGAAAAGTCCATCATAAAATGCTTCCTCATAGCACTTTTGTGACAGTGCCATGGAGGACCTCCATATGGGGTGAGCAGCTAACTACCCAAAACTAGTTTCCTCCACTCTGCTTCAAAAGCTTCCATGACTGTGTTCACAATGTACTCACTTTGACTATCTCATCGCTGGGGGATGTCTTTCTGTATGCTGTGAATATATGTTGTTCCCATTGGCTAATAAATAAGCTGCTTTGGCCTATGGCAAGGCAGCTTAGAGGCAGGTGGAAAATCCAAGGAGAGAGACAGGAAAGAGAAAGGTGGAGTCTGAAAAGACATCAGCCTGCTGCCCAAGGAGCAACATGCCAGCAGACTGGTAAACCACAGAACACGTGGCAAAACATAGATTAATAAAAATGAGTTAATTTAAGATATAAGAGAGAAAAAAAGGATATAAGAGCTGGCTAGCAAGAGGCCTGTCATAGGCCATACAGTTTGTAAATAATATTAAGCCTCTGAATGATAATTTTATAAGTGTTTGAGGGACTGTGGATCAGGGCAAGACGGGAGGAACTTGGGACCTGAGAAAACTTATGACTACATCTCATTGCCAACATTATGAGGGACTCATAACAGAGTCATGAGCACTCAAGATGGGTTATGGTCCAGAGTGAGGCTTTTCTTAGAAAAATGGTTGCCTGGATGAAGAAATTAGCTTACTTGACAATCTTTGTAGAAGAAGTGATTCATTGTGTGCCCAGGGGGGGATTAAAATCGATCTCTTTTTTTTAATGACTCGGGATAGTAATGAGAATTTACTGACACTACAGGAGCATTAATAAAAGAATTGCAGGTAGCACAATTTAAAGGGCAAAGCAGATGCTTTTTAAAAAACTAAAGCAAATAAGAAATGATCAGAAAAATCACTTTCTAAGGCAACAGTCAGTCTTGCTGTGACTATAGCTTTGTAAATTTTTAAAATTTGGATCATACTTTTAGTACACAGTTATGAGAGATTATTAGATCCAAAATACATAATTTAAAGATTGTCATAAAAATGTCATCTTGCTTTCCAAAAACCCATCCGCCATTTTACAGAAGTGTGTGTTTGTGTGTGTGTGTGTGTGTGTGTGTGTGTGTGTGAGAGAGAGAGAGAGAGAGAGAGAGAGAGAAGGAGAGCAAGAAATCAAGTAAACAATAGCAATAAAATCAAGTCAGAAATGGTGAAAAGAGTTGGAAATTAAGCTCACATTTATCAAGTGGGTATATGCTCTAAGCTCCATGCTAGGAATTATACACATTTAAATTACTTAATCCTCATGACAAATTTAATACCATTCTCACTCCATAGAGCCTCAGAAAAGCTGCGCCTGTATCTTGCTGGAAGGCATGCAGCTAGCACTGAAGAGCCAGGATGTTCCCCAAGTGAGCCTCAAATCCAGGCTCCACGTTCCCATCCCAGGAATCACCCCACCATAATGGCCTAACTCTTTAATTTCTTAACAGGAGAATGAGCATGAATAAAATTTTAATTTCACAAAACATCCCCCAAGTTCCCAGGCATTTTCTAAGCTGAACCCTAACTCCTCATGGTCTTGTACGGAGAACCTAGGAATGTCAGCCTGACTCCTTCAGCGGTTTTTAAAGGAAAGAAATCTTTCATGCCTTGCTAGGCACAGACAGGTGCATTTTCACCATGGTATCTCCTCGGCAGCGTCCCACCTGTTGAATCTCCCTGGATGTCATTAGTGAGTCCCATGGGCCTCCATTCCAGCTATCAAAAGGTCTAGCAGTCCAGTAGCATCGGCAATAATGAGACACAGCAGCAACCCGAAAGAAACCAGGGACT